CTCTCTCTCTCTCTCTCTCTCTCTCTCTCTCTCTCTCTCTCTCTCTATCAATCTCATTCCCAGATGAGTGTTTTTTCAGGGGATAAAGCGCACAGTAGTAGCGTTTGCATGAATTTCCAATCATAAAAGAATTTCGTTTTCATTGAATTTCGTTGAAATGTGCTGTTGGAGGTTTCATTAGGTTAGACAAAGAGTGAAAAAAGAATGAGATATAAAGGGCAGAAAAATCCGAGCGCAGAGAAGGATGTGATGACGAGAGAAAGGATTTGGTATTCCATACAACATTGTAACATTGCCATGCAGTCAACTAGAAAATCGATAGGCAAACCAAAACAAAAATGCGAGATTTCCATTCGACGTAATCGGCCTTTTTGCAATTTTGCAATGGTGCACCGTGCACACTGTGTGTGCCTGTGCATGTGCATACTGTACAGTCATTGTGAATAAATTGATTGAAATAGTTTATGCGATGCAAGTGCCATCGGAAACCCAGGTTTGGTCAAATTCCATGCATTGGCATACATTCCAACGGCTAACTGCCACTTTTCAAATATAATTTGTTTATATTTGCGTGTCAATATTGTGTGTGGTAGTACATAGTTATTATTAGCCCTAGTCACAGCTATACAGTAGCTATGATGGAACGAATTAGCCGAGTCTTGACCGAACTAGTGTAACAATTCATGGAATTTTCACCGAAAACTGCTCATTTCGATGTTTGATTAGCATCTGAATAATTTATTCCGACAATCCGCGCGCATTAATACCATTCCTGCAATTACAATGGAATTTACCAAATGCCGATACCTTACGGTCATTAGAATGGTATTAAGTGTAATGAGAGCACAGTTTGACGAGTTCATATCACAATGAGTGATATTGTCTGGCATATAGTTTTCGTTAATAGGTGGGTGGGTTGTCGGCGGCGAATCATTTTGCTACATATCAGATAACAAAGAAGAATGCATTGCACCGGTAGAACCAGACCGACCATTGTGCCATTGCTTCACAACAACGCATGTATTCAATTATCGTTTCATTTACTCCGACGTGATTCACACAGATCTGTGATATGTTGTTCATAGGAGGATCTTGTTGTAGTACAGTGCCATTGTGTGTGTGTGTGTGTGTGTGTGCATGTGCTTATACGGATACTGTTATTGATACACATCGTTGTGCATGTCGTACGAAAAACCAATTATTATTATTATTTAGTTTCGATTTTTCAAGCTGTAAAATATTAATCTCATCGTGCACTTCATCTACACGAGCGATGAATAGTGAGTGACCGTGTTAAAAAATGCACAGAGAGATAGAAACAGTCTCAGTATTTTATGTGCATTTCAATTCTTGAATGCAGTGGAGTCGTTATGTAGTACCAGCTAGCCACACTCTATGCAACTTTGGTGCGCATTTGCATCAACATAGTTTGCATACTGGCATTTTATTGTATCGTCTCTCACACTCTGTATCTCTCTCTCTCGCTCGCTCTTCGTCCGTTTAACGCCAAACAACAAAGGCGAATAACGAAGCAATGCGCTTAACAATCTAATGAAATTGTTACAGATAAAACGAATGTAAATTATTATATAGAATAATACAATTACGCTTCCCCTATAACGTATTTGTAATCATTCTACACAAATGCATTTAGTCCGTTTAATTGGAATATGTCGGTTCGTTGTTGCACTGGGAGCCTCTGTGAGTCTCTCTTTCACTTTCGCATGTGTGTGTGTGTGTGTGTGTGTGCGTCTGTAAATATATGCATCGGGGTGCGTGTGCAAGAGAGCTCAAGTAGAACGAGTGTAAATGCCCTTACCGCTTTGGTAATCACATTAAATAAGAAGTTGACGAGTTCAGAGTTCCGGCAAATGGAGCAACCGAACAGCAACAGTACAGTGCTTTCCAATGGAAATCCGATTTTACTGGACTGGCTCTTCTCTCTTTGTCGTTCGCACATCTCATAATTTCTTGAGAGCCTGCAATGAATTTATTATGGCTTACATGTGTGTATGTATGTATGTATGTATGTATGTATGTATGTATGTATGTATGTGTATCTCTCTCTCTCTCTCTCTCTCTCTCTCTCTCTCTCTCTCTCTCTCTGTGTGTGTGTGTGTGTGTGTGTGTGTCAGCAAGGTGCAATTGTTTGCACAGAAGCTTTAAGTTCAGTTTTAAAATGCCTTTGCATTTAATTATTGCAACCCTTGATATGAATTGCACAATCTCATTTTGAAATAATTTCACTCAAGCAATTTTCATTGCAGGCAGATTTTCCAATTAAAATACTCAAGCTCGTAAAATCGTGCGATATATACATACATTTACGGAAGAAAAAGTTCGAAAGAGGCAAACATTTAAATGAAAAATTACCGTAAAATTAGTGAGCAGGTGCGAATATAAACCGATTTCCCATTCAGCTTTATTCATTCGTGGTGAAGCATCGTTCGCAACATTCCATTTTATAAATAATATTTATCAAATATTAAACTTAATAAATTGCGAAAAAGTTTTCAACAATTCATGCCGGTGCTTGAATATTCAGTGTTCATTTTGAGTGCCAGGTCTAATGGAAAGGTATTCTCTTTGAGATTTTTTTTGTTCATTCATTTTGGTGTGTGAGAAAAAAACTGAATTCCAAACAGTGTCATATTTCGCAAAAAAAATCGATCCATTTTCGGGCAGTGGCCAATGGCCATCCAATGCCATGTCTATGTACCTCAAATTGGTTTCGAATTCTTCTTTTTTTCGTGTGCTAGCTTTTTTCATAATTTTTTTTTAAACATATGCACCGCACATACATCAAGAATATTGATTCCGCTTCATTAAGTTCCAGTATTACATTCGTCCATTGTCTAATTTTCATATGAAGACAATTTTGTTTGTCATTTTATAGCGGAACAGAAAAAAAATAATAGTCATAAAAAACCACAAAAATAATTTCGTTCACTATCACAAAGTGATTTCCAGAAACCACAACCTGAGAATATCCGAATATTGAGCAAGATATGTGACCAGTACAGACCAAACCATACATATACTTTTTCACACACAAAGAACGCACCGCACCGCATCGCACCACACAGCACCGAAAGGTTATGGGAGACGAGCAATGATGATTATTTCGTAACAATATTTTCGCATTAATATTTTTGTAACGAGAACAACACGTTTGCCATTTTGCGGTAAAGTGGCGCAATTTGTGTGCTATCGTATATAAGCCGGAGTATTCATGACAGAATCCATGTCGTTTTTTATTTTTTTCGTTGTTCTAATTTTCTTTTGTGCTTTCGATGCTTTTCACTATCTCTTTGACAATGGCGAATGCACATGCACCGGAGCCTAATTAAAAATTTGCATGCTTTGTCGTGGAATAGTTGAACAATAGTCGGTTATATGGTGGTTTTTAAGTACCACCTTTGCTCCCTACGTCTTCTCTTCATACCACTCACTTTCTTGGTTCAAAGCAGAAGTTCGATGTCATTATTCCCCGCTCATTGTATTCCACAATTCATTAGCGATTTTGTTGCATAACATAAATGAATGCAAAAAAAGCGTAAACTTTTTACTTTCTTGTCTCTTTGTACGACTTTTCTTTGTGTGTACTTGTGTGTGTGTGTATATGTGTGACCCCTCTGAAAATTTTCGCTAGCGACATTACTTTGAAATTTCGTTCGCGCGCATAAACACGTTTTGAATAAGCCAACCGAAAATATTGTTTGCTACTTGTTGTCGAAACAACACTTCGGAAAATGCGAAACTTATTTTTTTCAAGCATTTCTTTCTGCTGTTTGTCAATTGCACACCGAATGCACCTTGAAGTCATTCAGCGTTACTGTTTCCCTCATTCTCTCTCTCTTTTTCCCTTCATCTGTCTGTCTGTCTTGCTCTTGCTCTTAAGCAAACTAATTCTATAAATTCTTACGACGTAATTTGACTTTTCTCCGTATCGACGACTTGTGCACATAGTTTTCGGTTACAAAGACATACACACCGCTCTTTCTTTCTCTTCTTACTGTTGAACGGAGTAGCGTTCATTTGGCCACAACGCTCATTTTCAACTAATTTTGCCGAACAATTTCGACATGACATTCAATCCACCTTGAAACGCTAAAATTCCATCGAAAATACCGACAAAATGAAAACTATGCGTCGTAATAATCATTTACTTTGAGTTTTGCTCTGTGGTATGCCACGTTTCATTTCGTTCGAATCCGATCCGTTCTGTGTTCCATTTCGATTTTCTTATTCCCTCTCCGTTCCATTCTATATCTCGCTCGCTCCCTTTTGCTGCCTTGCTCACTCATTAGTTCATTAACATTGTTTATTTGGTATTATTTCGCTTCGCATCAAAAACCGACAGCATTTATGCTGTTAGTCTGCAATATTATCCCGGCCACCAAATGTCATTCATTTTATTAATAAATTAGGAAATATTTCTGGGGAGAATTGCTGTACGGGTCGATTGTTGCAGAGCTGTTGTTGAAATGCATAATCAGTTTTTCGTATGGTCATCAATAGCACACACACAAATAGGGACCGACTGATTCGATACCCTGCGATACCAAAGCTTCGAATGGACGTTTTTATGATAATGATTTCAATTCCACTCTCCCCCAAACTGTAGTTACGTATTGTCCGTCCGAAATTACAATTGATGTGGTTGATGATTTCGGCCAGACTTTTTGAATTGAAGCCAGCTCAAATTGAGTCGATAGGTGACGATGTCGACCACGCAACTCTAGGTCCTTTTATGTATTCACTCAAAGAGATGAAGTTATTTCACGCTAACACCGTGAGAATTGTTGCCAACTTAGCAGTTGATTGGGGCTGACGATGAACAAATAGCAAGAAGAAAAGGTTATGGCAAACTGTAAACAATGTCTGTGTTGAGATGCGCACACTTTTGCTAGACCATTTTCACCCACCTTTCATGCAATGTAAATCCAATTTGATAAGTAAAATTTCTTATGCTCTTCCATTCGATTGGGATTGTTTTCTTTTCGGTTTTTATGGTAAATGCATGAATAATCTCCGTTCTTATTTCTTCGATGCCATTATTCTTTTCTTCACCCCCATTTGTATGCATTTCCATTACAAATTCACGACTACACAAGACTATGAGGACAAGGGGGAGATATAAGAATAATAACAAAAGTCGATAACAACAAAAATATGGAAATATACAAAAGAATTTAGAAATTATGAAACGATTTCAATTATTATAATCGGGTTGTCGCTAATGCACTTGAAGTTATTATTAACATCTGCAGTTTGCGGCGCAAAAGTTGATGACGATGCTAAAATCTTTATGGCCGCTGCCGTAGTTGTTGTCGTCGTAGTCGTCATTCTTTGTCATCATCGAAAATAATTTCGTTTCCCCTCCTAGCTCTTGTATATCCCAGCAAAAAGAATAGATTCAACGAGCACCGACTGACTACGGTAAATAGGCTTGTGATCCACCACCACCATAAGTGCATATTTCAAATGAAATGCATATTTTTTTTTCAACGTAAATTAAATTTCGTGTCTTTCGTCGTTGTTTGATAAGCCTGAACACTTTACATTTTAACTTATTGAAGAAATTTGAATAAAAATTTCCCTTCATTTTTAGGCACCGAATATAGAAACAAAGTGTCACATTGAAGTCATTTCTGTGCGGAGCATGTTGCACACAAAATATCGAATTCCATGGATAAATTCAATCATCATTTAAAATGAGGGTGGGTTGTTCGAAACCTTAAAAGATGAAATTGAAGACAAGTGTGCTTCGTCGCATGGAATGTGATTTTCATTTATTGCTTGCGAGAAACAACAACCGAAAAAAAGCAAAAGGAAGGAACGAGAGGGAACAAGCGAGGAGACTCTCTCCTTGTGAACGAGAGAAAAACAACAAAACTTAGTACGCTTTGGTGATTACGGGTAATCCTTAAAACGGGCTATAGATGAAAGCGAAAAAGGTACGTTTGTCAGCAGAAAAATAAAGAGCGAGCGCGAATCAGCTTTGTTTTAAGATTGTCAAGCTTTTCGTGAGTAGTATTTTTTTTTCTCTTCTGATTCTTCGGCTCATTTATTGTGTCGATCGTTTCCGTTACGGAAATGTTTTTTCCCTGCTCTTTCTTCTGCACTTTATGGCAGAATCTGTATGTGATAAAAGCGCCACGAGTCGCGATTAACAATCGGCAATTGTACGTTTTGCCTATTCAACGGCATGGTAAATTTCGTATTTTATGGTTTGTCGTCGTCGTCCTTCTCCTCTTCATTGTCGTCAGTGGCAAAAGGATCTACATCCACATGCACATACACATACACACACACACACACACACACACACACACATACACACATACACAAGGATGTATGCAAAGGTTGTTATGGAGTAAAAATCACACCATAATCGCGCTATTTGTTTGATGTTCGAAACGACCGGAAAATGCGGAAAAAAGTGAAAATGCGTGTGCGTGTGCGGATAAAAAAAGAGTCATGCACAGAAGAGAGTTAGAGAAAGCGAGGACGAGAGCGAGAAAGAGAAATAGAACGCTTCGATAACTGCTACGGCTTTGTATTGCTCTGTTATGTAAACGAGAAAACAGCAACAACGGCAGCAGTAGCAGCAGCAGCGGCAAAAACGTCGAATATCCCATCAAAAAAACAGGTAAGCGTTGAGTGTGTGCGACAAATCCAAGGAGGATGAAATGGTTTGGCCAGGTCTGAAGAAGAGTCGGCAAGACGCATACAATTTTTATTTATATTTTTATGTGCGTTGCCATTCTTTCTCTCTTTTTTCGAATGGTTTGTGCATGCATTGGAAAAACAAAGGCTTGAATAATGACGACGGCACGGAACGACAACAATAACAGCAAACGCCCGATAATAGCGTTGACAGGAGAACACAACAACAGCAACCGCAATGACGACGACGAAAGAGTGAATATTTTTGCGCAAAGTGCGAACGATTCAAGAAACAAGTGATTGTTGG